AATGTGGATACTCATCTTAGGGTGTAATGGGTTAACTCCTTTGTCATGTTGTAAATGGATGGTTGTACAAGAGTTGAATCTTGAGTTATAAGTAGTGGGGTCTATTCCTTGTTGGTTTGTTTCTGTTGTTGTTGTTTATTTTCCATTATTATTATTATTATTATTATTACACTATTTAACTGGCTGAAATGCCATCTTAAGCATACTCTTTCCTGCAAAGTAAACTTCATAGTTTGCATGGTAATTGAAGGTGCAGTGGCAAGTTTTAAAATTTATACCACAAAGTTTGTAATATGTTGTATGTTTTCACCAGGTTGATTCAGCAGAATCCTGCAGTTGACATTGGTGCTACATCACCTCTAAAACTTGCTTTAAATACCGCACAGTATGGAAGAACATTTCAGGACAGGTCCCACATCATTCAACTTAGTCCACGATTTACAGAAGCTGTGCCTCTTGACAAGAATATCTATAATTTGAATATTCGTGGGAAAAGAGGAAATATTGTACAGGTATTTATCACCAATAGAGAGTACTTTGTTGTGGAAGATTATAGACTATAACCCACTTTTAAAACCTCTTAGCTTTTGACGTAACTGTATCTGTGTCAGATTGAATTTTTACCAGCTAAAATTTGGGTTTGTAGACTTCAGCTCTGCTGTTTTATTGTGAATCATTTTGTACAAACATGACAACTGCTTCATTGTTGAGGGACAGATAATTGATTATTTTCTTGTTGAATTTTTTCTTCCTATGAGGTTTATCCAGCTGTTGAGTATGACTTTGTCCCGAACAAACTGAACATTAAAAAAGAAACTGATGTTGTGCACATTCAATGGACTGGTAAGAAAAACTTTTTCTCAACACCTAACATAAACAGATCTTTGTGCCAGTTGTTACTGTACATGAATACCAATTTTTGTAAAGGTGGCTAGCAAATCCTTCTATCATGGCTTCAGCATGGATAAATTATTTTGTGGCTGTCATTTGTAGGCTCCAATTCACATAACAACAATAGTCCAGCTGGTGATGGCCAAGCTGGGGATGCTGGTGAAGGCAAGAGTGGTAAGTGGGTTTTTTTTTTGTTTTTGTTTTTGTTTTTTTTTTAACTTCTGCATTCTGTATATAAATTCATGAAAAAAATTAAGGAAAACAGATATTTGACTGAAGGTGAAAGATAGTAATAGACCATTGTCATTCAGCACCCCATTTTTGCAGCGCATAGTGAGTGATAATATTCGAGGTATGAAAACACACCTGAACCAGGCTTAGAGATGGTACCAGCCTTCACAGATAAAATGTACAGTTGATACTATATCTTCTTTTTGAGGACAGTCGGGAACTTGTTATGATTTTAAAACTGAGGAGGTGAAATGTTCTCTGATTTGTTATTCCACAGGTTCTGACAGAAATAACATTGTAGAAACTGGCAATTCTTTGGATAACTACCCCCTCCCATTTGAAATGTCCAAAATGTTTCAGGGGGCCACAGCTGTTTGGTCCAGCCTTGAATTAAAAGACCCCAAACCAGAGGATATTGCTGTCAGCTTGGCAAGTGCAGGTATGGCAGTTAAATCATTTTTTAAATTGGCAGTCTTGTACAATATTTGTCCATTTTCATATGGCATGTCATGAGGAAGGGTGGGATACAAAAGGAAACCCTAGTCAGTAATTCAAAGTAATTGTAACTGCTGGCTGTGCAGTAAGCTCTCTAACTCCTTCTTGGTTAGGTGAATTCATCTGTTTTACACAAAAACATGCATAGATTATTCCCAGATTTTTATTGTTTGGAGGGAAAAGTTGGTTATATTGGTCAAACAAAATTAATGTGTAGTCTGATCCTCTTAACAGCAGTAACTTTGAAATGGGAATTTTACAACCAAGCAGCAATACAGAAAAAAGATACCTTAGTGTGGGGTTTAACCCTTCACATCCTGAGTTTAGTATGCATATTCTCCATACTGCTCTCCATTCAATTCCCATACACTGGCAAGGAGAATTTGTGTAACAATCAAGGACTTCTTAAGTTGGCAATCATTTTCTTTGTTGTCATCATGTTTGACCATCATGTTTGACTCAGAGATGATACTGTTCGGAGAAATTAAATGCTAGTCACTCTTATGGGTGAAGGGTTAATGTTTCTAGTAATTGATTACAAATCCAATTTCCAATTTTGTTGTGTGTTTCATTTGAAAGGTTACTATACCTGTCTGCGGAGTAAGACATGTGCTGCTGAGTCTGTGGAAACCAAGAATACCAAAATGGATGTTCTTTTGAATAATGCCCCAGCATCATTTGGAGGCATTATGTTGAAATTCAGTAACAAAGGATGTTTCTACTACATGTGCTCACGCAATAATAACTTTTCAAATCGAAGTCAAAAAGGAGTGTTGTGCATAAGTTGAATTAACTCTGAAAGTGACTTTTGCATAGAGAATTGTTTCTCTACTGTTCAACCAAAAATTTCTGACAATTATTATGTTATAATTATGTTCAACCAATTGATGTGATAGCAAAATTTCTATTTGGAACTTTTCTTAGAGTTACTGGCTTAAACCGAGAGAAACAACGGTCTTTTTCAGCAAATTTGAGCCCCTGACCTCCCCCCTCAACCACCCAGCTCCTCCAGCCTTTCCCCACCCATTCTCTACCCCTTAAGATGCTCTTTAAAAAACGTCAGAATTCTGACCACTCTTTCAGAATTTCCAAAATGTTCTCATCTTTGAAATTGCTGTGCTTTTTTGTCATTCAAGCAACATCCTTCTTTCAGTACGGATCTTGAAATAGTCAGCAATATCTTTTGAAGATAGATAATAATTTGAGTACAAAGTTTGCGTCAGGGTCAAATTTTTTTCTACATTTCTTACTTCAATATTTCAAGCTCCGATTTTTTTTTTCATTTTTTACATCTCATTGTATGAAGTAATTGTAAATAATATTTAAAAGAATAACTTTTTATGAGATTTTGATGATAAAAGTGCTGGTCACTTCCTTTTTTGGGCAAATGACATACATACATGAGTCTTGTTGTTTTTGCAATGGAATTTTTTAAAAAACTAGAATGTTAATAATGAGTCAAAATAGTAATATAATAGGGATCCTTTCAAACTGACTTGTTAGATCATTTGATCAAGTATTAAATGACAGTTGTGTTAATTATATATTATCAAGACCACTTTCTTCTAAAGAGTTTGTCAGTGTGAAGTGTTTTCCTTTTCTTTTTTTCTTCTTGTATTGGTGGAGAACAAGCTTCCAGTGCATGTCAATTGAACAAACAGGCTATTTGAACTGTTCCCGCGACATCTGAAGTACCATACTTACTCGTGTATAAGTCGACCCCCATTTTTAAGCACAAAAATCAGATTTTTCATCATTTCTGGTCAAAGAGGTAGCATTCAGACAGATAGAAATTTCCCAAAAGTTAATCTCTTATTTCTGGGAATGTGTTGAAAACACGGGGAATTAAAAAACTGCAGAGCACAATGCAACCGTGTGGAAGTTTATCAGCACTTGTTTATATTACCACGACTTAAGCGCACTAGCACTTCGATTTATTGGAGAAGTACTTTGCCATATTTTGTAAATC